TTTGCAACCTCAGGGACAGTGTCCTCCGGGCCCATGAGCTCACAGCATGAAGGTTCCCTGGAGCTTTGAAGGAGTCTGCCCTGCACACTCTGCTCATAGGCGCCACATCCCCCGGCACAGCAGGCGGTCTGCCCCACAAATGCTCAGGGGCCACCTGAATCTTTTATCCCAGGAAAAAGAGGAATCCTGCAGTCTCTCTCTGTGTGTCTCTGTCTCTCCCAGCCTTGGCACCTCATCTCCACGCCCCGCCTGGCTCTCCCCCTCCTCCCCCCATGTATGCCAGGTTTATTTTCAGAACCTCTGAATCCTTCCCAAGCCTCTGACATTTACTCTTTGGAATTAGAAAATTTTCTATTTCTCTTTCCCAGAGCGAGGCTGGAGGAAAAGCTTTTCCCGGGGAATCTACCTGCCTTTCCGGAGGTGAAGTGCCGGGGGCAGAGCTGGCTTATGTCAGCCTGGCACTGATTGTGCCAACCAGCAATTATTAGGCACCCTCTGTGCACCAGGCCCTTCTAGGAACCACCACAGTCAGTGCATTTAAGAACACTGCGGGCTTGGCTTTACCATCTGCACCCGCAGGTGAATGGGGCAGGGAAATCAGAAGGTCTCAAGGCAAGTGAGAGGTGGAGCAAGGATGAAACCACACCTCTCGGGCTCCGAAGTCCGTTTCCCTCCTCTGTGCTCTGCCTTCAAGGTCCACGGGGGCTGGGGCACTGAAGGACGGGCAGCATTTGGGGGGACCAAGAGTTTAGGGTACATGGCATCCAGGCAGAGGGTACAGCAGGAACAAAGCATCCAAGTGGTCAGTCAAGTATAGGGTGGGTGGAGGGCCTGAGCCCAGAAGGAAAATGTGCAGGACAGGGAAACTCCCACACCAAAAGATTAACCTAAGAGACCGCACGGATGAGGGCATGCTGAGAGCCCAAGTATCAGGTGCTGTTCTCAGTATTTTATGTGCACTAACTCATCCATCCTGACGGCAACCCTATGAGACAGACACTATTATACTCTTATTTTACAAAAGGGGAAACGGAGGCTCAGAGAGGTTAGGAAACTAAGCCAGTCTGAGGCAGAGCCAGGATTCAGACTGCAACCTGGCTCCAGAGACTCACTGTGGCACCACCCTTCTGCACACCCCTCCCTCCTGCGCAGCCTCACCAGCTGACCTTCGTGGTTTCAGCAGGAAATGTTCCTAAGCAGGAAGATGGGATGATCAGAGCTGGGGTGGTGTGGACCAGGCCAAAGGGGAGGGAGCGCTGTGTAGTGTCTGGCAGGAGCCAGGGACAGGAGGGGCGGCACGGCGCGTGCTTATTAACCTCCCCTTGGCCACCACCTGGCTTTGGTCCGGTTGAATAAGCGGCCCTCACGAGGAAGGCGCTGTGGGTGACTGTGGCCTGGCTCGGGAGGTGCACCTGGGCCGGCATGTTTTCCCAGTGAACTCTGCCCTCCCCCAAGCAGGAGGCAGCCAGGGTCGGGCCCCTGCACACATGCTCTCTGTACCCCAAAACTTAGCAACTAAAACAACACACATGCTTTATCTCGGTTTCTAAGGGTCAGGAGCCCAGGTGTGACTCAGCTGGTGCCTCACCAGCTGGAGCCAAGGTGCTGGCTGGTGTCGGGTCTCATCTGAGGACTCCCCAGAGAAACGATCCTGCTCCAAGTTCACTTGGATAATGGCTGGAAGACTCAGTTTTCTGAGGTCTGCTGGACTGAGAGCCTCATTTCCCCGCCAGCTGTTGGCTGGGGGCCACCCTCAGTTCCATGTTACATATGCCTCTGCCACCTGAGAGCTTGTCCCATCAAAGCTGGAGTCTGCTAGCAGACCCAAGTCACCATGCTTTGCACGCAGTCACAGGAGTGGCACACCCTTGATGGCGCCGTGTCCTATTGGTATAAGAAAGGGGAGAGGAGTACACGAGAACACAAAGACCAGGAGGTGGGATCAGTGAGGGTCATCTTGAGGCTGCCTCCCGCCTCCCAAGGTCCTTGGAAGTAGGCCCGGGCTACAGGGAGGGCGTCCCAGGCGGCTCCCCACCAAACAGACTTAAGGTGCTAGAGCTGCCTGCAGCCCCAGCCAGGTGGCCCCGCTGGACCACATCGTCCCTTCAGGGAAGAACAGGACATGGAAAGGACGGCATGAAGGGCAGAAACTTCCTGAGCATATGAAGGCTCCGTCCTGGATGTTTGGAAAGAAGGCCAGCTGTATCCTATCAAGATGGATGGTACCATCCTGAAAGGGGTGCAGATCAGTGGGGCAACCAGCATGCCAGAGAAAGGAATCAGGCAAGGACACCACCCATCTCCTGCTCCGGGGTGGTTTGGGGAAGAAGAGCAGGGTCTGGCTCCAGGGAGAAAAGGGACACATCATTTCAAGTCCAGGCCAAGGAACAGCAACACAGACACAACAGCATTCCCCCTCATTGTTGTTCCCCAGGATTCTGGTCCCAGGGAACCCCTCGAGACTCAAGGATCAATGACCGATAAGGGCCATTGGCCAATATTGCCCACAGGGGCCTTCCCAATTTCAACAGATGCTCCTGAGTGAGGAGCTCAAGCTGCGTCGAGGGACTCACCTGTCATTTTCTATCTTGCCTTGTAACAGATCAAACCCATTGAGGTACTACCACCTATGGAATGAAAAATAAGCTCATCCCAGAATTCAAAGCCTTTCATGACCTGGTCCCAGTTTTCCCAGAAATCCCTATAGGTTTTCCAGACTTCAGACAAACCAACTAACCTCTTGTTTAATTGTTTGCTCCTTCTGCCATTCATTAGCAAATATTAAATGTGTGCACACCACGTGCCGGGCCCTGTGCTCGGTGCAAAGGGTCATTCTAGCTCTTGCCTCGCCCCCATCACAGAACAGATCCCAACCATCTTCCCTCAGCACACCAGGTTCTCACCTCTGAGCCTTTGCACATGCTATTCCCTCAGCCTGGTACGCTTTCCTCTCTTCTCTGGACTTTTCCTGACTTCCTTTAAGACCCCGCTCTGATAGGAGTGTCTGAGTGGCTCAGTCGGTTAAGTGTCAGACTCAGGTTTTGACTCAGGTCATGATCTCAGGGTTGTGGGATAGGGCTCCGCATTCAGCAGGGTGTCTGCTTGAGATTCTCTCTCTTTCTCTCTGCCACCCCCCCCCCCCACTCATGAGCTGGAGCTCTCTCTCTTTCCAGTAAATAAATCTTAAAAAAGCAAAGACTCCGCTCAGACATCAGTTCCTCTAAGAAGCCTTTTGTGACGCCCAGCTGGGTTACATCCCCTACTGTGCACTCAGAGGCCCCGGTGCTCACCTCTAACATGGCCAATCAACAGGCAGCTCTCCTCCATGCAGAGACTGAGGGCCCGAGGAGAGGCGTGGCCTGTTCCTATCTCTCAGGAGCTGATGATCCAAGCAAGCCAGGGACAAATCTAAGCAGATCTGTGGTGGTTTATTCATTCCCTGGCAAATTAAGGGATGATGAAGGGGACAGCCGAATCATATTTCTGAAGTGCTTATTATATACCAGGCTGCCTGCCTGGTGTATTTGTAGAATATCGATCTTTTACAGCAGATGCACAGAGAAGTATTATCAGCTTTGTTTTGCAGATGAGGAAATAGAAGTTTCGATTGATTAAGGTTACACAGCTGGTGAATGGCCTCAGGCTCAGCCCAGGAGCCCAAATAAGTCCCTGCCATGGAGCCTCTTCACCCAGCCTTGGCTCCCACACCTGTGGGAGGCAGGGCAGCTCACAGGATAGGGAGCCTGCTTCTCCCCCTGCCTCTGCCTCTCTCTCTCTCTCTCTGTCTTTCATGAATAAACAAATAAAATCTTTAAACATTTTTTCAAAAAAATCTTTTATATTCTTATTTACTTTCTGTCCACTTATTCTATTATTGTGAGAATGATATGGAACTATTCCACTGTGACTGTGGATTTGCCTAGTTCTCTTTGCAGTTCTATCCACTTTTGCTTTATCTTGAAATTCTGCATTTGGTGCATAAATGTTTAGGGCTCTCTTGTTTTCTCTTGATAGATTGACCCCTTTATCATTATGAAACATCCCTGGTAGTATTCTTTGCTCTGAAGTTTCCTCTAATAGTAACATAGCCACTCCATCATTTTCTTGATTATTGTTATCATGATACATCATTTTCTATCCTTTTAACCTATTTGTGTCAAAATTTAAAGTGAATTTCTTGTGAGCAACATACAGCTGAGTCTTGTTTTTTTATCTAATCTGACTACCTGCACATTTAATGTGGGTGTTTAGACCATTTATATTTAACATGATTTTTTTTTTTGCCATTTTATACCTTTATTTGACAATCAGCAATTAGTTCTCATCCACATTAACTGTAGATTTTTTGAAAGTGGTGACAGGTACATAGGTAACCAAAGTGTAGAACTTGTTCGGTGAATCTTCATCCTCGTCACATTTTCTGGGCAGCCGTACACGGATACGGTATGGAACATTCATTATTCCTTTGATCCAGACAGCTTTGTCGAGCCTGGTGTCAATGCAAACATCTGGAGTTCCCATCTCTTTCATGGTAAATTTCCAGATCTCTTTGAGTGCCCGAGGGGCACCCTTCCTGAAACCCACTCCATGGATGCGCTTGTGAATGTTGATGGTGTATGCCTTGGTCACTACCTCACTGACGGCAGAACGCCCCTTCTTCTCGCCACCCTTCTTCTCAAGAGCCATTCTGCCGGGTGCTGGTTGGAAAGTTTTAACATGATTATTAATTTGCTTAGCTTTTTACACATAAGCTTGCTCTCTGTTTTCTATTTTTCACATCTGTTCTTCGTTCACTTTTTCTTCTTTTCTGACTTCTTTACGAATAATTGATTATTTTTCTGATTCCATTTCATCTTTTTTGTTGGCTTAAGACCTATAGCTTTTTGTCTTGGTATTTTAGTGGTCACTTTAGGGTTTATACTATACATCCTTACTTATTACCATGTATTTTCAAGTGGTATTATATGACGCACATTTAATGTAAGAATTCTGTGAGAGTAGTGCTCGTTTTGGCAGCACATACACTAAATTGGAACAATACAGAGCAGATTAGCATGGCCCCTATGCAAGGATGACATACAAATTTGTGAAGTGTTCCATATTTTTTTTAAATTTTGTTTAAGCCACTTAAACAATTTGCCTCGAATCCATTCCAAGTTGTATATTTGTCTTCCAATTAAAAAATTACAATTTACACCTCCCCAAAAAGGAATTGTGTAATAGTATACTTCTATTTTTTCCTTTCTAGGGCTTATGCTATGGTGGTCATACATTCCACTTCTCCATATGTTATAAACCCAACACTACATTGTTGTCATTAGTCTTCAAATGTTCTATTATTTTTTACAAAGAGGCAAATAGTAACAGAAACTCCCAGCATTCCAGTGGGAGCCTGTGTAATTCCTCTTTCCAACACTCTTTATTCCCTTATGAGATCTATCCAGTATCGTTTCTCTTCCACCCAAATGACATTTAACATTCCTTGTGGTGTCAGTCTGCTAGTGATTTACTCCTTCGGACAGAAAAAAAAAATTTTTGAAAAAAAATAGCCAAAAATATTCCAAATTCGATGGAAAGTATAAACCCACAGGTCCAAGAAGCTCAACAAATCACAAGCATAAAAGATAGAGAAAACAATTATGCTAGGTCACATCATGATCAAAGTACTAAAAGCCAGTGGTAAAGAGAAAGCCTTGAAATCATCCAGAGGGAGAAGAAAGACACATTATACAGAGGAACAAAAATAAGGATGACAGTATATTTCCCCTCAGAAAAAATTCAAGTGAGGAAACGGTAGAGGAATGTTTTAAAACACTGGGGGGAAAAACCCTCTTACGCTAGAATTCTAAGCTCAAAAGAATATCTTTCAAGAACAAAAGAGGAAGACTTTTTTTTTAAAGATATAAAACATGAACTATTCATGGGATTTGCCTTTTCAATCCAATCTTTCGGGAATCATTGTGTCTTCTTTGCTTGATGGCTAAAGTCTGAGAAATCATTGTTTCAGATATTTTTGTACAGTTTTTTAATTGTTTCAGGTAGGAGGGTAAATCCAGCCCCTATTACTCTCTTGGCCAGAAGTGGAAATCATAGCTGTAATTCAATGTGTATTTGTGTGATTTTTCTCCTGCTGTAGCCCACATTCCAGGAGGGGAATGTACGTACGTAAAAACGTACCTGTTCTTACTCTGGGCTGTATCCTCAGCGGTTGGCAGAGAGTCAGGCACAGACTAGATTCCAACTAAATTCTCTAAACTTCTATGTAGTTGCACTTGGTTTGGTGAATGCTAGGGCTATTCCATGATTCTCCATAATCTGGAGCTACTTTACAAGATCCAAATTAAAATAAGAAAAAACCCACATACCAGAATCAAGGTTGAGAAAGTTCAAGGGAGGAGAAATAAGGCCCCGGGAAGGCAGAAAGCTAGAAGACAGAAGGAACCCAAGTCTTTCCCCTCCCCACAGCCAGCCCCACCCCAATTCCCCAAAACACTCCTCTTGCACATATCCCTGGTATGGCCAGCCATTTCTCACCCACCCCGTCCCAACCCACACCCACATATTCTCCACTTCTTCCCTTAGTTATAGAACCTCAAGTTCAACTGCATAAAATAAAAACTACATTTTCCAGCTCCCCCTGCAGCACAGTGCAACCACGGGACTTGTTCCTGCCAGTGATGTGTGAGTATTCCTGTGTGCCAGTCCCAGGCTGTGTCCTTAAAGGGAAAGGCCATACTTTGCATGACTCTTATTCTCCCTTCCTCCTGGAGGGGATGTGGACGGGGAGTTGAGCCATATTTCATAAAATTAATAAGGCCAACAAATGAGGAATGACAAGAAAAGGTGGAAGCAAACTGGATTCCCAAGCCTGGCCACCCCCATAGCCAAGTCTAGAACTGGTGTGTGAGCGAATAATGCGATTCTGTCTTCATAAGCCACTATTAGGTGGAGTCTTATTGTATGATTCTCAATAATGCTCAGAACCAGGCACTTGGCTGTTTTTCGGGAAAGGTGAATTGCTCAGAAAAGCCTATGTCCAGGAGAAAAGCCATCTAATTTTGACTTATAACTTTGGGCCCTCTAGGGCCAGGGGATCTGGGGCAATGTGATTAGGAAAGAACACCGCAGCGTCTGTGGCTTTGCTGATTGGAGCCTGGTGGGTTCCTGCTGGGGCTCTGACTGCAACAGAACACGTAGTGAGGAGGAGGTTAAAGCTGGACATAGGGAGATGAACCTGCTGGCCAGCCTCCCCTTTCCCTCCCTGTCCCTTGTCTAAGCAGGAATCATTCTTTACAGCAGCTTACTCCCACTACCTTGAGTTGGGCACGCCATCCACAGAGCAGGGGAAGGGAGGGGAATTTATGGCACCAATCATGGGGATGACGGTTATGAATGACCGGCTGTCCTGCCACCGCCCGTCACACCCACGGGAAGAACCCTCCAGCGAGTGGTTCAGGGACCGAGTCCTCCTTACTGCAGGGCATGCTCAGGCCTCACCAAATATACCTAATATTTAGATAAGGGAGAAGATGGGGGGACTTAGCAAACACCTTCCTGAAATCTAGTAGCAATAAATGAGAAAAATGGAGCAGCTCACTCCAGATAACCAGTGCCAGAGAACTAATTAATGCCACTCCTGTCCTGAGCCAGGATGCGGGTGGCAGAGGCACCTGCCCAGGTTATTCATCAGCTTCAGATTTATGGACTCCTCGAGAGCCGCCTGCACATCTCCTCCCCTCCAGTTTACTTGAGACACTTTTATCTAGATTTTTTTCAAGATTATTGATCTGCTCTGCCACTTCTTAAGGCAGGTGGCGGGGGGGGGGGCGGTGGTTCAGGGAGGTAGGGGGTCGGGGACATGAGCACCACAGTGGGTGGCACAATCAAATATTGATTTGCCGGCAATGATCCAGAAAAAAATCGATCCATTCAAGTGAGCCAATTGTTTCTAACTGCCCAAAACCAGAGAGTCTTGGTTTCCCATGCAAATCCTTGGGTTCTTGATATTGCATTCAAGGCAAGGGGAGAGTCCACTGCCTGCACAGATAAGAATGAAGGCTGCAAGTAGAAGAGGTGGCAAGGCTCAATTTCTTCATTGGTAGATGGGAATAAAGGGAGGGTTGCATCGTGTTTCCTGGATGCATGAATGAAGGAAGGTACTGAATCTTGGAGAAAGGAACAGGGTGCTCCAAACCATCCTCCCGCCCTCCTGTACTATTAACATCAAAGCTCGCCGGCCCAGCAGAGGCACAACAGCACATATTCCAGAAACGAAACGGTGTTAAGAGGTCATCCCGCTTTCAGTCTGGGAAGAGCACGTAGTTCTGATTTTACTGGTGAGTCAGCCAAGACGTGGAGGTCATACAGCAAAAATCCCACGCAGGCCCCTGACGTGCAACAGCAACGCCCCGAGCCCCTCAGCTACCATCCCGTGCACCAGGCATTGTACCAGGTAATCCTCACAACAGCCCAATGAGGCAGGCCCAGCTAGCTTCATCCTCTTACGTGTGTGCACACCCGCACCTTGGTTTCTCATTTCAAAAGAAATATATCCTGTTTAAAAAGGTTTTATCAATAGGGAAACTCATTTCAGGCAGGAACAATAAAATAAAAATTCAATATAACTATAATCTTGTCCCAAATTTTCCAATTGCCCAACAGCAGAGACACAGGCAGGTTATACATCAGGGGAGTGAAGGAGTTCTACAGATAAAGGGCTGATTAGGGTATTGAGAACTCAGAAAGTCACCGCTCTCCTTCCATCCCTTCTCTAGGTGTAACTGAGATGTGTTTTCGCAAGCGACCGCTAACTTCTTTTTATCATTTCAAAAACGGTCACCCCGCACGCCGCAGGGATCCTTCTGCGGGTCCTGCACAGTCGTGGTGTTGGTGACAGAGAAGAGTGGCTGCCCCCCTTCGCCGTAACCCCCACCTGCTCGGACTACAGCAGAGCCTCTGGCTTCCCCGTCACCCCAGGAAACCAGAGACCCTCTTTGCGTCTGAGTGCCTGGTTGGACTGACGGACAATGCAGAGGGTCTTGCTGATCACCCCCGGCAACTGCCTCTGAGAAGTTCTTCCAGAGCCTCCTCTGTGAGAGCAGACGGTGCCGTTTCTCCCGAACACAGCCCTTCGCCTCCCTCACCCCGCGGTGCCAGGCACAGGGCTCCGCGCACGCGCGCGCATGCGCACACAGCTGCACCCTGGGGAGATGCTGGTTCAACTGGATAGAACTTGAAAAAGGAACTGACCACGTGCGGAAGGGCTGCCTCAGACCAGGAAGGGAAAGTGTTTATAAATCAAAATCCTTTTCTTGTGGGCCCCGAGAGAGCAGAGCACTTCAAAGGAGCCTCTGGCAAATCCTTTTGTACACTGTGGAATCCCTTTTTCCTGTGAATGGCCCTCCCTCCCGAGGCTGAGTCACGCACAAGCACGCACGGGTGCACACACGCATACGCACACACATTAATACAGCCACACAAATATGCACACACATAAATAATACACACCTACACTGCGAAAGTCATATACTCACTGGAAAACAAAAACAACTCAAACAGCACAGAAATGTAAAATGTTAAGCTTCTCCCTGATTATCTCTCCATGACCTCTCATCTAAGACACTCACTGTTAACATTTGGGGGGTATGCTTAGATTACAGAACTGCCGAGATTAGGGATGTCTCCCTGCTCAGCCTCAGATACGACTTTGATTGATTTTTTTAAAATCACAATGAGTAGGAAATTTGAAGATGCACAGAGACAGGTTCCTCTGTCCCCATTCCGTGGGAAGCGCAGGACCACACACGGCTCCTGTCCTCCTCCCGAAAGGCAGGGAAGCCACGTTCCTGACTGGCCCGGCACCCCACATTGACTCAGGGCATCTCACAGTTACTAGCGGCTGGGCTCCCCTTCAGCAGGACCTCTGCCTGAACGATGGCGGCCCTTCTGGGGGGTTGGACTCTGATCCTTCTCCTGACATCTTCAGGCCAGAACTTGTGGCCATTGGTGACCACCAGTCACCACTTTCCTGCCTTTTTTAGGCACCATTAGAAACTTTCCATGTTTTAGTGAAAACATTCTGAAGGGGCAAACATAGTATCTAAAGA